GCATTATTATTCTTCATTTCTCATATTATATGTATTTTTCTCACGTACTTTTCTTTAATTGAATAAATACATATAGTGACCATAGGGTAGAATAATATATCACATATCAATATCATATGCGGGTAAGATGACGCATTCTTACGCGGGGGAAAATAATTTGCTGGTGGCGGAGCAATCTTTACCCTGTCGCAGCAAAATCTATCGGTTACTGTGCGGACGGCAGAAAAAAAATGACTTGTTAAGAACATTAATTGCCATTGGCTGAATAATTTTGCTGGATTTACAAATCATTTTATCGGGAACAAATCGATAAACAAATCGATAAATAATAGGAAAATACAGGAAAAAGTCGTCTCACCTCCCTTTCATCTGTGTACAGTGTGCGAACAAAGGTAAACGGTGATTTAAATTCGAATTCTCGAACGTGACCGTGACTTTTGAGAGACGTGTCGTTTTATCATCGAGATCGTCCAGGGTTCGAAGGATTCCGTTCGTTATTCGTCTCGAGTTGCAGAACACGTGGGTGGATCGTGCTCGCGTTCAGTTTCGCATTTGCTCAATATTCGGGAATCGGCGTTCCGCGTTCGTTTCACAGTCAATCGTAACGGATAGCTGGGATAGCGGGGCGACCGATTGAATGGAGATTAATCTCCTCCGCCGCAGCGTGAAATTGTAACAGTAAACGAAAGCGAGACTGGAGGTACGGCGTTTACACGTCAAGTACACAAGGCCATCAAAGGGAATCGCCTTCGGAACGAGCGCGGAATAAATTTCGCACACCGCCCGGCGGTATTTGCGCGCACGTACACCCGGCACGAGGGAATCGATCAATCGTCGAATGTGTGCCGGAGACACCAGCATCGGTTTTCTTTCCTTTACCGGACGTCAGCTCACACCGACGACGACGTAGGCGGCGAACTTCGCCTACATTGTACGTAACTAGTCTGCACTGACTATTATATCTTCGAGCGAACTGCGCACGGCCTGTACCGTCGACAAAGTAAAGGCAAGTGCATTAATTCGTCAGCCTTCGCGTTCGCTTGGCGTTGCCGCCACGGTCGAATGAATACGTACACGCTCTCGTGACACGCGAATGATTTCGTCGAGAAGAGGAAATGAGGAGGAAAAAGAGAAAAATCGCTCCTCTCGAGACGAATGAGTGAAAAAAGGGCGAAATAAAGAGAAGAGAGAGAGAGAGAAGGAGGGAGGGAGAAAAATGGCAAGTGGGATCCTCGTGGCGATTTCACCTATGGTGGGCGGCAGGACGATGAAGAAGGGTGCCTTAAGACACAGGGGTTTGCGTTGAAGAGGGTTGAAACGGCTGCGGTGCCCACTCGCGGCAAGGCTATCTTCTCTCGTTAGATTGACGTCCCTCTTGCAGGCCTCTAACCGTAATCAGAATTAGGCCTCTCTTTCTCTCTCTCTCTTCCTGTTTTTACTCTTCTTCTTTTCTTCCTTCAACTTCTTCTCGTTCCCCGTCAAGATAGAATATTGCGAACAGAGTGCATTCGCATTTATAATACAGTAGCTACACAGCTCGTCTGGTCCCGCTGTTACACAGTTTTGTTATAATTCTCTCTCTCTCTCTCTCTCTCTCTCTCTCTCTCTCTCTCTCCCCCCCTCCTTCTCTCCCTCTCTTCTTTTTTCGTCAGGCTTGTAATCACAAGGGCAAGAAAAGCCGAGGTTGGCCTTACATTGTAAAACACGACGAAGGGAAGCGTAAATCCGAGCTAGCGCACGCGCGCGCACCTCAAGGCGTCCGCTTTAAGAAATTCGTTATCTCGGAAAGGTCTTGAGAATTTTTACTGCCGCGAGCAGCACAATGCCACTTCTTCTTAAGTACTGTGCATTACTTTCAATTTGAAAATTTGCACAAAGCACTTTATATCCGCTACTATACAGTATCAAAAGAGAGAGAGAGAGAGAGATACTTACTTTGACAATTATGTGAATAAATCTTAATTTTCCAGCCTCTTGCGCTAACGAAAAAGCGAAATTTCATCATCATGAATTTTCTGTACACTGAAAAGGGGTTTGGTAACAATTACCAAACATTTAGTGAAATAGTTTCAATTAAATGATTTGGTTACAGTATCAGAGATATCTTAATAATTATAAATAATCTGTTGTAGTTTTTGACTTCAATTTATCAACGATAGTAAGTAATATAATAAGCAAAATATTTTGGACTCACCTTCATACATATGATTTTGCAGTATTTCTTTATAAAGAATTACACAATTACAGCAAATATTTTTATTTTTTCTATAGAACCATTCTATAGTATATCTAAAAACATATATAATAACTTATTATTATTTTTCATTTTTCATATTATATATATTTTCTTAATTGGATAAATAAATATAAATATAGTGACCGTAGGGTAAAATGATATTATGTATCAATATCATATGCGGGTAAGACGACGCATTTATACATGGAGAAAAATAATTTGCTAGTGGCGGAGCAATTTTTATGCTGTCGCAGCAAAAATTAATAATAATCCCACTAACCAAATAATTTAGTTGAAACTATTTCACCAAATGTTCGGTAATTGTTACCAAATTTTTTCCAGCGTACGTTCTTATCTTGGTTTTCATCGTCGCTTGTATAATTTATCAGTCTGACATGTACCTCGCCTCATGAGGTGCGAGAGTCGTGGACCATGTAAAGAGAATCGCAATTCTCTTCACTCTCGAGAGTGAAGAGAAACATTCTCACACACACACATTGTTTTCCTGCATACACTGAGAAACCCATTTAGCTGTATCAACTAAATTCTTGTTTGACTATGGGCAAATAAATTTTTTGGTTGTAATAATCCAAGTTTAGTTGTCTAAACCAAAGGTTTCGTTCTCTGAAATTATCGAGGTTTCAAATAACTAAACCTTGATTCTTATAATCAAAAATATGCTGCCCATAGTCAAACAAGAATTCAGTTGATTCGACTAAATGGGTTTCTCAGTGTAGAATATGGCTTTTCTTCCACCTTTGTTCTTCTCCTGCGGGATATGTTTAGATAGGCCGGCTGATTAAGCAGTTTGGTGGCTTAGCAAAAAGGGTGGTTCAAGGATGGGGCAGCGCGCAGAGAACTAATGATCCGAGACTCACGTGTCCGTGGAGATTTCGGTCAGCGTGCGAAGAAGGATAAAGAGTTATCGCGACAGGGGATGGCACAGGATGTACGAGTGAGCACTGTGCCACAAAAGAAACGCAATCGTAATCGGTGGAAAGACATTTCGTGTGGAATCCAGCGCGCGGGCACGGTGTGGCTGCTACACTTACGATCTTTGAAGGTCCTCCCTGCGCCGCGATATTGATCGCTGTTGTAAAGAACAGTCGATCTGTTACATTCGAGAGAGTGTATAAAGAGGAAGTGAATAAAAATCTTGCTCGTTTGGCCTTTCCTCCGGCTCATCCGGAAGAGGCGAGTTATAGGAGATGTGTGCATAAATAAGGAACGAGTCTTGAAATATAAAAGATACACGACAACGCGGTGCACACGACGCATGGATTTCCAGCATGGATTTGCCGATCTAATTTTAACGATATATTTTAATACGTTTTAGATATATATATACTGTCATATAATATCGAGAAAGTTGCATGTAAACAGAGGTCTCTCTCGAAACATTCCCCGTGGAATCTCCGACATTCCACATTCGACGATAAATGAGACATCATTAAGTAATGACACGTATTGTGATGTACATATCGTTTTAAATTTTCATCGCAATGAGAGGGCGCGCGCGTAATACTTTTTTTGTAAAACTTCTAAACCAGGAATCCCTGTGTTGGTAAAAAAGAAAGAAGAAATATTTAAGGAAGGATGTGTACGGGATTCAAGAGGATTTACGAACTCTCGAGACACTCGTCAATTTTGCGCTTAGGTAGAGTTTAGGGTAAGCGTACTTTTACGTTAAAAAGGTACGCGCCCCGGATATTCTCTCTCGCTTTTTACGCCGACGGGGTGGCAGATTGAGAGTTAATGCGCCCGCGAACTTTCGTTCGCGTGTCGCGCGTTCTTCCAATATGAAATTATCGCGTCAATGAATTTTTCCGTCAAAGGACGCGTAGACACACGATGGGATCGTTGTAGAGCGTTTGAGCACGCGTGACAATCTCTCGCTCACGTTGCAAATTTGACTTGTAGCGCGAAAATACCGTTCAAAGATCCTTTTTTCGAACGCATCGTACGAATATATTTCAGAAAGACAATGTTTCGTTGTCCGAGTCGAAATTTTTATTCTATTTTATATCGAAATTTTAATCCTATTCCAATTTAGTTCTTATTAAGTGTCCAAAGATCACTTCTCTTGTGCTCCTTTGGTCTACGAATAGAGAAATGATTTACAGGTTTCAGGTTTAGTTACGAAACTATTACGTTTCTTCAGGGCAAATTAAAAGATAAAGTTATACGTCGCGAGAAATTGATCATTTCTCGTCTCTGATGTCATACAACCAATACAGTTGCCGAAGATAACCGAGCGTTAAATAATTTCAAATATTCCCCACAAACACACCGAACTTGGTGCCACTTGAGAAACTCACAACAAGTTGTTTTTCTTCCGGTCTCAACTCGGAGGAAACGGAAATAAGTTCCCATTTGTCCGCATCAAAGGGGTGATAGTTTATGTAACATTATATCTGGAGATCTCGCTCCATGCACGCGCGCACACTTAAGGGCACAAAGAGAGCAGGCGTACGGAAGTGCGGTGCAGGTGAAGGAGAAAGAGCAAAGAGCGTCCGGGGG